CTTTAACTAACTAACTTTAGCAGTCATTTCTTATCGATTTCTTATAGTTCATTCACTTATAAATCTAACATTTTTGTACTTTACTTTTTATGTAATCGATGAGTTTATCTTCAGATGTCCGTTATGCAGTACAAAAATATATTTGGTATAAATTTCTTACCTGTCTTCTTAATAACGAAAAATGAAAAATGAAGAGTGAACGAAGATTTTGACACACTTGAAAAGATATTTAAAAATAGAATAATTGCAAAGAAGATCTTTCATTGCATATTCTCTTTTGTTGTCTCACGAATTTAAGGATATAATTTCATACTATGAATTTATATCCTTGAATTCGTGAGACATTCCACGGAAAAATTTATGAAGGATACATTTCAAGTAAAAAAAAATTTATCGATAACAAATAATATCAGATAATATTGATATTGTTGTAATGATTGTGAGTTTTCAATAGGGGTAATGATTTATATTCTTCTAGAAAATATTGTTATTTGTTTCTTATTTATGCAATTTTAAACATATTTTATTTATTTAAATATTTTATTTTAGATGATTTTAAATCAAAATTTGATGGTAATCATCACCTGCGAAACTTATAAGGAAGAATTAATTATCTGAGATGCGAGAACAATCGCTCTAACCTTAGGAATCTATCGTAATTAGCTTGAGAGTAGTAGTAAAATTCAACGAATTATTGTTTTCTAGTCATTTGTATTATACATTTCAATGAAAATTTAGTTAATTTAATCCATTGATTTCTGTAAGTCAAATTTATTAAGTACTGCAAAGTAAATCGGAATTGAAGCTATTTTTAATTGATTGAAAATAGTGATAGTACAACTTACAAATAAATTTTGTTTTAGAAAAATTAAGCAAGAATTATGAGCAACTTATATTCTATGAAAAAATTGGTATAAAGCTTTATTCTTATCAATTTTCCATTATTTTCTTAGTTAGAAAAAATTTTTCGTTACTGATAAATCACTAAATAATTTAAATAACTGCGATTAAACTGCTTGAAAACTAGGAATGCTGAAACTAATAATGCACTCTCATTTTAATTTGATTAAAAAACATATTTCAAACTTTGAATTCAAATCATTTAAATTAGTTAAAGAACTGCAGTCACAATAGGTATGAAAATACATTAAACAATCGTTCCTGGTAGTATTGTCAACACAAAAGCCTTATCAATCTATCAATTAAAAAAAATGCCATCCTGCATTAGGCCCGTTGATTTTTCACTCATTTTAGAATAGTTTAGATTGTTTAGTGAAAAGATATACTGATATTATCAGCTGCCGAGACATTTCAAGCTTTCAGTGATTTGGAAGCTAAGTAGGAAGTGAATGTTGCAAATGTTGTCACACACTGTCTATGCCTTCTTGTTGGGAGGCGCTTTTCAACCATTCCATTGCGACAACTGCGCGTTTAGTCCATTTCAATTCCACCCTTCATTTTATGATGGATTTCAGCTATAGGACAAAATTTGGGATTAGCAAAATTGTAGAGTTGAATGAGCGGAATATGTTTGATAATAGATCATATCACAGGAAGGGAAGAGAATATTATCGATTGGCTATTAGTGTTTTTGTTATGCTGATAGAAAGATTATCGATGTTTCCGATATCTTTATCCTTTTTTTTCTTTTAGCGTTCTTAAAATATGCTGGTCAGCTCATATTTTATTTGTTCATTTATGTCTTAATGAATTTTTTGAAAATGAGGCATGTTTTCGTCGATTATAATAAATGATTTTACTTGTTTTGACTGTACTGTTTTCAATGTGCATGTATCACGCAACTCACTTTAAATATGCTGAAATAACTGAGAATTTGCAAGAAATCGTTGCACATTTTAATTATTTCTTTTAAAACCATAAATAATTAATTATCATTTCTAATTATTCGTACAAATAGTTAGTTATTTCCTTCAGAACTTTTTAACCAT